CGGCCATCGACTACGTTCACCCCAGGTGGGGGAACTGCGTCGACGAAGGTGCCGGTGGATCTCCAAGATGCCATCTCCTACTCCATGGCAGCTATCCACTGTGAGGCCCAGGGTCCCGAGGTCGCCTCAGCGTAAGTGCGAGGGGTCGGGATGTCGAAAGCGTCTGGGTCACCCTCAGGGACTAGCAGCATGGAACAGAGATGGGGAGCAGCCTCGGAGAGGAAAGCAAGCTCAAACTGGCGGTCCTCCAGGACGTCACTGCCAAGGGCAGAAGCACCCCCGACAGACGGAGGACAGGCAGGGTCAGAGACCAGGGCGGTGGCGTAGTCAAGGCGGCGGGTAGAGGCGAAGTCAGCGACAGCAGCGACAAGAGTGTCAAGGCACGGGACCGGAACAGACGGGTCGGTAACGAGAGAGGCAAGGACCCGAGGAACAAGAGGACGAGCGGCACGAAGGTAGTCAGACAGCGGGGGGGGTGCAACAACAAGGGAGGACGGAGGAGGCGACGGCAGAAGGGGAGGGCGAGCGAGTGGGAACGAAGCAACATATGGTGGGAGCGCAAGACAGGCGAGGCAGGACGAGCACGGGAGGGGCGGTGAGACCAGACGTGCGACGGAGGAGTCGGGTCAGGAGACAGGGGAGGTGACACAGGAGGGGAACAAGGGGGGAGACGAGCCGGGGACGAGTCCGGCGGAGGAAAAACAGGGCCGTAGACAGGAAGAGGAGGAGACGGTGGGGGAGGAACCGACGCAGGGTCGGGGGACGGAAGGCCGAGCAGGCGAAGGGCGGACATCGGCGAGGAGTGCTGCTGCGGCGGCACAACGGCGACACCTGGACCGCAAGCTGCTCCTCGGCTACCACCAGCACTCTCCACACCCGCACCCCCAGAGGGACCACCCTCAGGGCGACCGGGACGAGCACCCCCAGAGTCAGCGAACGGGTGCTGCGACGGCGGCGGCGGCGGTGGCGGCGGCGGTGAGTGAGGGACCGACAGGAGCAGGCAGCAGCAACCTGAGTAGACGCAGCCACCTGAGGGAGCGCCCCAGCCGGGGGGGTCACGGTGTCCAGAGTGAACAGGCCGGACACCGGGTCCCGAGGGAACGTGGACACGGGGGCACCGGTGGCGGCCTCGGTACAGACAGCATACCGCTCGTGACCAGGGAACGTAGTGGTGACGCCAAGGTCCTGGAGGCAGCCGACACCAACTAGGTTCCTGGAGAACGAGGGGATATGCAGACCTGTAAGAGAGCCCGAAGGAACCGCCGGACAGGGACGGGTGGTGGAACTGCGGGCGACTACCGGACCGCCGGAGGGGTCAGCAAGAGAAACGGCAGCTGGAACAGGAAGCGGCGTCAGGGTGGTGGAGTCGCGGAAGGAACACCGAGAAGCGCCAGAGTCCAAGGTGAAGGAAAGCGAAGCAGAGGCGGCTGGCGACGGAACGACGGCGGAAGCACCAAGACTACACAAAGCAGAGGATCCTACGCCTGACGCAGCAGGGGAGGCTACTCTAGGCACACCTACACTAGGCAACAGTGAGTAATAAGCTGGAAGCACATTAGAGTCATCAGCATACATCACATGCAGAGCAGAAACAATGGCATCCATGTCCATATCAAAGATCTGAATCTTACGACTAAGCAAACTGTGCCAGTCCGGGAGGTCTGGCGACGGGCCGAAGCGCTGACGAAACAGGTCGTCCAGGCGACGAAAACAGCGGGGAGTGGAGTGACCGATCTGATCGCAAACGAAGCTTGGCGAGGACCGGTCTGGATCTGGTACTGACAGCGCCCGCCGCCAGAGCTACCACTCGACACACCACCACGCGCCCGGCCACCGCCAGCGCCAGGCCACCCGGGCGGGAGGACACTCGGCTGCCGCGTCTGCGACGGCTGCTGCGTCTGCGGCGAAGGCTGCGACTGCGGCGGCTGCTGCGGCTGCTGCAACTGCAGGGGCGGCGGCTCAGCCGGACTGGGCAGGGTCCCCTCGTCTGCTCCAGCACCAGACGACGCGACCCCACCACTACCCCCTCCCGCACCCCCGCCTCCGCCGCGACCAACCTTGGGGCGGCGGCCCTTCCCCGAACGAGACTGCGCTGCAGCAGCGGTCTCAGCCACTGCGACAGAGCCGTCGGAGAAGGTATACTGGGCGGGGGCACAACCCTGAAAGATAGGGACCGGTACGACACCGCTCGCCTGGGCGATGGAGCGGTGACGGGTCTCTATCACAGTCAGGGTGTCTACAAAGTCAGTGAGGGTGAGATCGGCGGGGTGAATGCTAAGGAAATGGTCGCGGGCGACAGCAAGGCGGTCAGGGAGGCGGGTGGCAAGCAGGTAGAGGGTAGAGGTAATGGGCGGCTGGTGGGCTCTAAGCTGTGCGTCAGTGGAGGCGGCGCGCCAGGTCACCTCTATCGAGCGCAGGTGGGTAGCGAGGTCAGAGACAGTGGGGAAAGATGCAAGTGCAGGAAAGAGCATCGGGAGGATCAGGCGACCCACCGAGGCAGCCGGAGGGGTGGAATAGCGCTGGATCACAGCATCTAAGTATGCCTGAGCAGTAGTGAGGGACCTAAAGCGAGGACGCTCGGATGGGGGGAGGGCGTTGCTAATGGCAAGCTGGGCGACAGCATCGCGAGAAAGCCAGACAGAGCGCGCACGGGCAATGGCAGCAGTAGACTCACGCTCAGTGGGTGTGGGGTCAGCGGGCAGAATAGCAGGGGGGTCTGGGCAGGGGAGCGTACCGTCAAGGTGTGCGGAAAGCGGTTCACCATCCTGCCACTGGCCAGTGAGTTGGCGGCGGAGGTCGGCAAGCCACGCCTCGAACTCTAGGGGCTGACCTTCAGCGTCGAAGCGAAGCTCCGCCGCCATCAGGAACAGTCCAGTGCGGTGCAGGGCAGTGCAGCTAGGTGGGGTGCGGTGCAGTGCGGTACAGTGCGGTGCAGTACGGTACAGTGCGGTGCAGTGCGGTGCAGTGCGGTGTAGTGCGATGCCAGGCAGTACAGTGTGATGCGAGGCGGCACGGAGCAGGGCGGGGTGGGGGGGAACCGTACCAGTGAGGAGGACGGGGCCGGGGCTGGCCCGACGGGGCCGGGCGGGCGCGACGGGGCCGGGCTGGTGCGACAGGATTGGGACGGGGCGACGGGGCCGAGCGGGCGCGACGGGGCCGGGCTGGGGCGACGGGGCCGGGCGAGTGCGGCAGGGCCGGGCCGGTGCGACGGGGCCGGGCGAGCGGGACGGCGGCCGGGTGGGTGCGACGGGGCCGGGCGGCTGCGACGGGGCCGGGCAGGGTGCGACGGGGCCGGGCGGGTGCGACGGGGCCGGGCGGCTGCGACGGGGCCGGGCAGGGTGCGACGGGGCCAGGCGGCTGCGACGGGGCCGGGCGGGCGCGACGGGGCCGGGCGGGTGCGACGGCGCCGGGCGGGCGCGACGGGGCCGGGCGGCTGCGACGGGGTCGGGCAGGGGCGACGGGAACGGGGGGGGTATGACGCGGCCCAGGAGGGGCGCTACGGGGCCCAGGAGGGGCACGACGGGGGCCCAGGATAGGCGCTACAGGGGCCCAGGAGGGGCGCAACGGGGCCCAGGAGGGGCGCTACGAAGCCCAGGAGGGGCGCGACGAGGCCCAGGAGGGGCGCTAAGGGGCCTAGGAGGGGCGCGACGGGGCCTGGGAGGGGCGCGACGGGGCCCAGGAGGGGCGCTACAGGGCCCAGGGAGGGCGCGACGGGGCCCAGGAGGGGCGCTACGGGGCCCAGGAGGGGCGTGACGGGGCCCAGTAGGGGCGCTACGGAGCCCAGGAGGGGCGCGACGGGGCCTGGGAGGGGCGCGACGAGGCCCAGGAGGGGCGCTACGGGGCCCAGGAGGGGCGCTACGAGGCCTAGGAGGAGCGCGACGGGGCCCAGGAGGGGCGCTAGGGGGCCTGGGAGGGGCGCGACGGGGCCTGGGAGGGGCGCGACGGGGCCTGGGAGGGGCGCTACGGGGCCCAGGAGGGGCGCTACGAAGCCCAGGAGGGGCGCGACGAGGCCCAGGAGGGGCGCTACGGAGCCCAGGAGGAGCGCTACGAAGCCCAGGAGGGGCGCGACGGGGCCCAGGGAGGACGCGACAGGGCCCAGGAGGGGCGCTACAGGGGCCCAGGAGGGGCGCTACAGGGCCTAGGAGGGGCGCGACGGGGCCTGGGAGGAGCGCGACGGGGCCCAGGAGGGGCGCTAGGGGGCCTGGGAGGGGCGCGACAGGGCCCAGTGAGGGGCGCGACGGGGCTAGGGGGGGTCGCGACTGGGCTAGGGGCTAGAGGGGTTAGCGGAAGCGGTAGGTGTGGGGGGATCCTACCTACGCGTGATACCATATCAGAATTGAAAATTGAATGATGGATAGAGTGAGAGTACACAAAGATATACCTAAGTGTTGTACTCTCTAAGAGGCGACCCTATACAGTCTATACAAACATTACAAATACACATGTTTGACAGTATCTCCTATGTTTGCATAGACTGTATAGGGCCACCTCTTAGAGGGTACAACAATTAGGTATATTCACCTGTACTCTCTCTCTACTCGATTATTCAGTTCTCATTCTAACATAGTAGACTAAGTATAAAACTAAAAACACGAACACTTGGCAAATCCTCAAGTGTTGGTCCAGGATCTTTGCTGGAAAGGTAGACTAGTAATACAGTGGAATTCTTGTAAAATATAAAGGTCAAGGTTGAATAACCTGAGTACGTGAACTTGTGTGTAATCAAAGTTAATAATGTAAAGACCTGACAGAGATTTATAGTTCTACGAAAAGTACCTATTCGCTAATGTACCTGTTCGTCACTATCGCGCTAAGCGCCCTAGATGATAATGAAGAGGTACGACTGTTCGCGTGACTGAAATGACTGTCCTATGACGAGCGCTATTTGCTGACGTCATCTTACGGACTTATGTTCTACAGTGAGATTCGACACTAACTACACTTAATCGACTTACAGAAATGCTAAGTACCAATTATATCACAACAAGAATGAACTAGAATGGGAGAGTACAAGGGAATATAACCTAGAAACTGTACCCTCTAAGACACAAACCTATACAGTCTATACAAACATAACAATATATGTTTGACAGTGACAAGGTACAGCAGAAGAAAAACTTAGCCCAAATAAAGAACGGCATACAGCACGCTATAAAAAAGCAGCATCCAGTAAGAGACCATCGCACCGGAGGGAATCTTGTCCAGCCTTGGCACTGCTCTGCGACATGGCATCGCGGGCGTCATGTGTCGTTGAGTGCGTTTTTTAGCTTCTTGCTGCCCTTGGGCTTCTCCAGCGGCTTGTCCATCCCCGCCATCTTGTTGTTGTACCGCGCCCGCAGGGCGTCGCTGTACGTCCACCTGCCACCATGTAACGGCGGGGGAGACACATGTGAGAGGGTGTTATGTGTGGCCGGCCTGTGCTATGCTGTTGAGGGAAGGCAATTCCGTGAATCGGATAATGGATGGATGCAACCACGGTTGTTGAGCTGTTGGTTTGAGTGTGGATGGGTGCAGGGGCATGGGTGCCTGACTCACGGAGTGTCCCACTCGGTGGTGTCCTCGTTGACCAGGTGTGTCCACTTGCTGCGCCCACTGCGCCCAAAGTGCTTCACCTGCTCGCAGCAGCATGCAAGGGAAGAAAGGAGAAAAAGGGGAGTGAAGACAAGGTCGAGAGAGAGGAAGTTAAGAATAAGAGCAGGGGCTAGTGGAGGAGTGGGAGAGAAACGGAGGCACATGCCTGCCCTCCCCCCTGCCTGCCCTCCCACTGCCTGCCCTCCCCCCTGTCTGCCCTTCCCCCTGCCTGCCCTTCCCCCTGCCTGCCCATCCCCCTGCCTGCCCTTCCCCCTGCCTGCCCTCCCCCCTGACTGCCCTTCCCCCTGCCTGCCCTCCCCCCTGTCTGCCCTTCCCCCTGCCTGCCCTTCCCCCTGCCTGCCCTTCCCCCTGCCTGCCCTTCCCCCTGCCTGCCCTCCCCTGCCTGCCCTCCCCCCTGTCTGCCCTCCCCCCTGCCTGCCCTTCCCCCTGCCTGCCCATCCCCTTTCCTGCCCTTCCCCCTGCCTGCCCTCCCCCCTGACTGCCCTTCCCCCTGCCTGCCCTTCCCCCTGTCTGCCCTTCCCCCTGCCTGCCCTTCCCCCTGCCTGCCCTTCCCCCTGCCTACCCATCCCCCTGCCTGCCCTTCCCCCTGCCTGCCCTCCCCCCTGCCTGCCCTTCCCCCTGCCTGCCCTTCCCCCTGACTGCCCTTCCCCCTGCCTGCCCTCCCCCCTGTCTGCCCTTCCCCCTGCTTGCCCTTCCCCCTGCCTGCCCTTCCCCCTGCCTGCCCTCCCCCTGCCTGCCCTCCCCCCTGTCTGCCCTTCCCCCTGCCTGCCCTTCCCCCTGCCTGCCCATCCCCTTTCCTGCCCTTCCCCCTGCCTGCCCTTCCCCCTGACTGCCCTTCCCCCTGCCTGCCCTCCCCCCTGTCTGCCCTTCCCCCTGCCTGCCCTTCCCCCTGCCTGCCCTTCCCCCTGCCTGCCCTTCCCCCTGCCTGCCCTTCCCCCTGACTGCCCTTCCCCCTGCCTGCCCTTCCCCCTGCCTGCCCTTCCCCCTGACTGCCCTTCCCCCTGCCTGCCCTCCCCCCTGTCTGCCCTTCCCCCTGCTTGCCCTTCCCCCTGCCTGCCCTTCCCCCTGCGTGCGCTCCTCGGCGTTGCAATCTGACCCCACAAGCATCTCATCCCCTCCTACAACCACCCACCCCACCTCCAACCAACCTAGCCACCCCTGCTGTCTCCCGCCCCATCTTCTTCCTTCCCCATCTCACACTCCTCTCGTGAACGCACTCGCCTGCACTCACCTGCACTCACCTGCATGGCGGAGGGCAGCGCGTTCACCTGCGTGGAGGAGGGCAGCACGCTCACCTGCGTGGCGGAGGGCAGCGCGCTCACCTGCATGGCGGAGGGCAGCGCGCTCTTGTCCAGCCTGTCCTCGCCGGTGGCCTCCGAGTAGTCGCGCGTGAAGATCTCGTCCGTGCCCGCCGTGCCGCCCTTGTCGTCGGCGCCGGCCTGGAAGAAGGCGCCCTTGTGGTAGTACTTCTGCATGAACTTCCACTTCTTCTTTGCCCCGCCGCCTGCCACCACCTTGGGGTTGCGCCGCTCCCACTCGCGCCGCTGCTCCTCCGTCATGCGCGCCACGCGCTCGCGCTCCTCTTTCTCGCGCGCCACCGCCTCGCGCTCCTCGCGCTCCCGCCGCACGCGCGCCTTCTCGCGCGCGCGCCACCGCTCGAACTCCGCCTCCGCATCCGTCTCGTCGTCCGTCTCCACGTCCTCCGCGCCCCCCTCCCCGCCGTCCCCCCCGCCGTCCTCCGCGCGGCGCTGCTCCTTCTCCTCGTCACGCCGCACCTCCTCCACCACGAGCTGCCGCGTCTCCGCCTTGCGCTCCTCCACGCGGCGCCTCACCGCCTCCTCCAGCTCGCGCTCCTCCTGCTCCGCGCGCTCCCTCTCCGCCACGGTGTCGCGCTCGCCCTTGGGCACGAAGACGGGCTTTATCATGGCCATGCCGCCGCCCTCCTCCTCCGAATCCGTCTCGTACTCCGACGACTCCTCCTCCTCCTCCTCCTCCTCCTCCTCCTCCTCGCCCTCCCCCAGAGCCGCCAGTTCCTCTTCTTCTCTCTGCCGCTGCAGCAGCCGCTCGCGTATTCTCCTTCGCCTCTCCTCGATCGCCTCCTCGTCCTCCTCTTCCTCCTCCTCCTCCTCCCGCTCCTGCTGCTTCCTCTCCTCCTCCTCCCGCGTCGAGACAATCTCTGCCGCCCGTATCTCCCGATGCCGCGCTACAGCCTCCTCCCTGTCCCGCCGGCTCTCCCCCAGTCGTCTCAGCCGCGCGTCGTTCTCCGAAACCCTAACGCGCGTGAGGCGGTCCCCGATGTCCTCGCGCTCGTCCTCCGCCTCTCCGAACACGCCCCCCCGCGCGTCCTCCGCGTCGTCCGCCCATTCAGGCGCCTTCCCCGGCCAGTACCGCTTCACCTTCGTCTGCGCGATCCTTCCGCGCAGTTTCTCCCGAATCGCGATCGCCGCATCGCTAACGCCAGCCGCCACCGACATGGCGGGAAAAAGATCGCGGCGGTCAGAAAGGAGTGAAAGAAATAACGCGAATTCCTGAAAGAGGGGAGACGCCGGATTCGAGTCTAGGTACCGTTGGTGAGAACCCGCTTGGCTCGCTGGACACGGTGTTGGCCTACAGCGCAAGGAAAGGATCGCTTTCGCGGTGGTCTCTCGTGAGAGTCCCTCGAGTTAGAGCGGCCGGCTCCTAGGCGCGGAGGGTGGTGGAAACGTAAGAGGGAGCGGTGACCTACTTCGGTCGTGGCGCACTTGACGCTCTGCTCCAGCCTGCCTGCCCTCACTACTGCACGGCGCAATAGCGGCTGGGCCAGAAAAAGGTCACACGTACGCGATAAAAGTTGCTGTGGCGTAGATATGCCATTCAGGTTATGTTCGGAAAACATGTTCATCAATGCCTCCACTCCACGCAATTCCAGATTTGCATGTAGCGTCTTTTCGATGCAGGGTTATGCCCCTCACCCCGCCCACAATCCACGCGTGGCTGAAGCAGCCAGCAAGGTCCGCGCCGTGAGTGCCGCCGTGTCCCCGCATGGACCGCCCTCTGGTCGTCGCCGCGCACCTCGCCTCCGCACACCCTGCCCCAGCTTCCTGCGCCCGCGCCTCTTCCTTCTATCCCGCGGCTCTCCCCCGCCACGCGCAGCCGTTTGCCTCTCCGCACCCCCCGTCCACATCCGCCGTTACCCCCACCTTCGTCGGACGCGTCGCCCAACGAAACGTGTCCCTTCGCCAATGTCGCACGGCGATCGTCACAGCGACAGCGGGCAGAGCGGCGGCGAGCAGCGGAGGGGAGGGCGCGGGCGGGGGCGGCGGGCGCGCGGCGATCGATGTGGAGGGGCTGAGCCTGAGCCTGGGGCGCGCGCAGGTGTTGCGCGAGTGCAGCCTGCGCGTGCCCGAGGGGCAGCTGTGGATGCTGCTGGGACCCAACGGGTGCGGCAAGTCAACGCTGCTCAAGGTGGGCGAGTCAACGCTGCTCAAGGTGGGCGAGTCAACGCTGCTCAAGGTGGGCGAGTCAACGCTGCTCAAAGTGGGCGAGTCAACGCTGCTCAAGGTGGGCGAGTCAACGCTGCTCAAGGTGGGCGAGTCAACGCTGCTCAAGGTGGGCGAGTCAACGCTGCTCAAGGTGGGCGAGTCAACGCTGCTCAAGGTGGGCGAGTCAACGCTGCTCAAGGTGGGCGAACAAGTCATCCATGCACTCACAAGCAGTCTGCTGCCCTTCCCTTGCCTCTTCTATCTCCTTCTCCACTCCGAACCCTCCCCCGTGCCCACCTCGTTTCTTCCCCCTCTGCACCCACCCCCTCTGCTCGTCCCAGCCCTACCACCCAAACGCCCCCTCCACAGCAGCTGGTGCTGCCAGCCTGTTGTGGGCTTATACTTAGAGCGTTCGTGTGCTGCACGTGATGCTGGGCGCAGTTGACGCCCGCTCAGCTGTTGTGACGCCACACATTCCACCCTCCTCCCTCCTCCGTGCCTCGTCCGCCCTGGCAGGTGCTGGCGGGCTTGCTGCAGCCTAACAGCGGGCGGCTGAAAGTAGATGCGCCTCGCTCCTTTGTCTTCCAGAACCCTGACCACCAGGTGAATGTCAGGTGCTGTTTCAGATGCTGTTTCAGGTGCTGTTTCAGGTGCTGTTTCAGGTGCTGTTTCAGGTGCTGTTTCAGGTGCTGTTCCAGGTGCTGTTCCAGGTGACCGCCGAGCAATTGCGGACTACCAGGAAAACGCCCTGGTGAAGCGGGGCTGGCTACCAGGTGATTGCGGAAATGAGCCTTTGGACTGGATGCTTTTTTGACCTCATGCCTCCACTCTCTCACTTCCTCTTCTCACCTCCTCCGCTGCCGCCATTGCAATGAGCGTGCGCGCGCTACCGCTGCTTCTCCCCTCCCCGCTCCTCCACCCCTTCCTCCCCTCGTCATCCTCTCCTCTTCGCCCCTTCGCCCTCTCACTTCCACACTCCCCTCGCTGCCACCAGGTCATCATGCCTACTGTCAATGCTGACGTGGCGTTTGGTCTGGGTCGCCTGCACCCCCCCCTCCCAGAGGCGGAGGTGCAGCGGCGGGTGGCAGAGGCCCTTGAAGCCGTGGGCATGGCGGAGTATGGCGAGGTGAGGGCGGGGTGCGGAGAGGTGAGGGAGGGGTGCGGAGAGGTGAGTGCGGGGAGCGGAGAGGTGAGGGCGGGGTGCGGAGAGGTGAGGGAGGGGTGCGGAGAGGTGAGGGCGGGGTGCGGAGAGGTGAGGGAGGGGTGCGGAGAGGTGAGTGCATGCCGCCGTGTGCGCCACCAAGCCTGGTGAGTGCAGGGTATGGGGAGGTGAGTGCAGGGTATGGGGAGGTGAGTGGGCCGTATGGGGAGGTGAGTGCAGGGTATGGGGAGGTGAGTGGGGCGTATGGGGAAGGGCGTGAGTGGTATGTTAACGATGGCTGCGCGGGGCAAGTAAACTCTTCAGGGAGAGCCCAGTGTATCTAGAAGCACGTATCAACAGGCGTGTAATATTCCAAGGTGGGTGAAGGAGCAGCAAAGGGAAGCAGAGGCATGAGTATGGAGCTCGGAGGCAGCACATGAGGGAACGGGTTGTGAGGGGGGGGGGGATGGCCATGGCAGGGGCACTGGCGGCAGGCGATGAGTCGTGAGTGAAGGCAACTCGGGCAACTCTGGCAACTCTGGCAACTCTGACAACTCTGGCAACTCTGAGCGGCGGGCAGAAGCAGGGCGTGGCAATGGCACGGGCGCTCATCTCTCCCATTCAATCATCTCTCTATCCCCCTCCTTGTGCGCCCACCATCTAGCGTCTACTTTCCCGGCTGAGCAGCTAAAGCAGCGATTGGCGATGGCAGGCGCGCTGATGTCACCTCTTTATGTTTCCCTCTGCTCGCCTCCCTGCCCGCCCTCCAGCGCCTGGTGTCCACCCTTAGTGGCGGGCAGAAGCAGCGCGTGGCGATAGCGGGGGCGTTGGCGGAGGATTCGCACACGCTGCTGCTGGACGAGCTCACCACCTTCCTCGACTCCGCCGACCAGGTGCCGCTCCCTCCCCGCTGCCCGCCACCACTGCGCTGCTGAATGGTGAACCATTTTAGATGACGCCATGCTTCTGCGTGGAAGTCTAATTGCCGCGGGGCCTGCTCCATGTTCACTCCGCCTCGCCACCATGTGATGCACAGGAGCCTTCGCACGTGATGCTTCCCTCTCGCCCTTGCTGTCCCCTCTTCGTTCTCTCTCCTTCCCCCCCGCTCCTCCCTCGCTTTCCATCCCTGTCCGTCCCTGCATTGCATGGTCTGGTGTGTGGAAGCTCACGTGCTATGTGAACCATCATACCTTCTGTCTCCGCTCTGGTGACGCATTCCCGTGTTGCTCTTCTCTCCCCCCCTTTCTTCCTGCACCCAGCACGCTGTGATAAGGGCGGTGCGCAGTGTGGTATCGGGCGGCTCACCGGGCACCGGCAGAGGCAGCAGGGCTCCGAGCAACAATGGGGATGGCAGCGCGTCTGCCGGCAGAGGTGAAAGCGCCACAGGCAGCAGCAGCAGCTCTGACAGCAGCAGCAGCAGCAGCAGCAGCAGCAGCAGCAGCAGAGGGGGGAGGAGGCGGCGGGTGACGGCGCTGTGGGTGACGCACCGGCTGGAGGAGCTGCAGTATGCGGACGGGGCGGCGTACATGGATGGCGGGCGCGTCGTCGTCATGGGCAGGGTGGCGGACGTCGTTGACTACATCACCCGCCAGCAGCAGCAGCAGCAGCAGGCAGCCAGTGCGGGGTCGTTCTGGTCAGCGTTTGGCCCAAGCTGAGTGTGATTTGGGTGATCGTTGACTATCAATGGCCTAAACGACATCACTGTATGTCTCCAGCATGAATTTGGCTGCTTCCCATGGGTATAATGAGTTACCGTAATCCCCCAGACATAACACCCGCCAAAATTAAGCACCCACTGGTGTTACGGTATATCCGGGGAGGGTGTTCTATTGAACAATCCGCAATTATACACCCTCTTTTGAGGGTTCCAGGCAGGCCCCCAAATTGGTTTTGGGGTTGTCTGATTCGTCGGACTTGCCTGACATCCCTTGGTATGGCCTGTTAGAATGCTAGAATGACTAAAAACAAGAGAGAACAAGCAAGGTATAGGGTTTGGTTGTACTCTCTAAGAACATACCCTATTCTAGCCTATAACTTCCATATGCAGAATGTATGTATAAGTTGACACACCCTCTAGGCTAGATAAAGGGTAGTGCTGAGCAACAAGCACACAGCTCAGGGTGGCACTGCTATTCCAACCTCTGAGAGAGGGGTCCGAAGACCAGTCAGCAAGAGTACAAACAAGATAGGAGCAAACCAGGGCAGCACTACTAGTCCGGCCATTGGAAGAGGAGCCACAAGGCCAGTCTGAAAGATAAATATAAAGAGGAGTACACAATCCAGGTCCTAGCAAGTGAGTCTACAGGAATCAGACCGAGCTGCAAGCAGTGCCTTTGATGATCTTTAGGCGCAATCGCCTTAGTAAAGATATCAGTTGTGTTGGCACCGGAGGTCAAGTGTACTACGTGCGCCTGGCGGCGCTGCTGTAGCTCACACAGGAGGAAGTACCGCAGCTGGATGTGCTTCACTCTGCCCTCAAGTCGAGGCTCCTGACACAGGAGGATCATGGCACTGTTGTCAGCGTACACAACTGGGGCAGAGCTAGGCCGCTCACCTATATCGGTGAGCAAGAACGTCAGCCAGCGAAGCTCCTGTGCCGCCATGGCACCGGCGTAGATCTCAGCCTCACAGCTAGACTGGGCAACAGACGAGGAGCGAGTGGACCTCCACGAGATGGCACCCGAATCAAGGCTAAAGCAGTAGCCCTGGGAGGACCTGAGGGTCTCACCATCGTCTGCCCAAGAAGTGTCTGTGTGCCCAGTAAGGACCACCGGCCATTGTCCTCCTAGCACTAGCCCCATGCCCGATGTACTTGCTAGATAACGCAAAAAACTCTTAGCAGCCGACCAGTGCTGTGGTCGGTGTCTACCACTGGCCACAAAGCGAGCCAGAATGCTGAGAGGGTATGCGAGATCGGGACGCGTGCCAGCCATCAGGTACATGAGGCAACCCACCAGCTCTGCGTAAGGACCACTGGGCTCTACTGACTCCTCAAGAACTGTAGCCGAGAGCCTGTGATCTACTGGCAGAGGTGTGGGCTGTACGGAGGAGAACTGAAGGCCGTACCTCTGAAGGACCTGGCGCACCAAGTGTGACAGTGTGAGAGTGATGGTGCGCGCTGCTCTCTCCCTGGAGATCTGTAGGCCAAGGTAGCGGCGTAGCTCTCCTAGGTCAGTGCACGTGTGCCTCCTCAGCAGCTTGGCCTTCACGGAGGCCAACGCGTCTCTGTCTGCAGTAGCGAAGACGAGGTCGTCTACGTAAACAAGGATGTAGAACGGAGTCTGGCCAGCACGAACAAAGAGCGAGGGGTCTGCAGACGATGGAAGGAACTGCAGGTCAGCTAGCGTAGCACGCAGCGTGTCGTGCCACTCACGGGGCGCCTGTCGCAGGCTGTAGACCGGCCGTCGGAGGAGCCATTGGGTCCCAGGAGGGAAGGTACTAGTGTAGCCCTGCAGTCGGCGTAGGTAGACCTGCTTGTGTAGGCTGCCATGAAGAAAAGCAGAGGAGAAGTCTAGGAAGTGGAGCTCGTAGTCACGCTGTGCTACTACGTATAGCAGCGCCCGAAGAGTAGCCATCTTCGGGGTCGGAGCGAAGGTCTGAAAGAAGTCCACCCCCGATCGCTGGCTGAAGCCTCTAGCCACGTAGCATGCCTTGAAGACAAGCGGCTCTCCAAGGGGGCACTTCACCTTGAAGAGCCATCGGCCATTGACTACGTTCACCCTAGGTGGGGGAACTGCGTCGACGTAGGAGCCGGTGGATCTCCAAGATGCCATCTCCTGCTCCATGGCAGCTATCCACTGAGAGGCCCAGGGTCCCCAGGTCGTCTCAGCGTAAGTGCGAGGGTTCAGGATGTCAAAGGCGTCTGGGTAACCCTCTGGGACTAGCAGCATGGAGCAGAGATGGGGAGCAGCCTGGGACAGGAATGCAAGCTCGCACTACCTGTCCTTTAGGACATTACTGCCAAGGGCAGGAGTACCCCGGACGGACGGAGGACGGATAGGGTCAGAGACTAGAGCGGTGGCATAGTCAAGGCTGCGGGTAGAGGCAAAGTCAGCGACAGCAGCGAGAAGAGCGTCAAGACTCGAGACAGGAATAGACGGGTCCCTAACGAGGAAGGCAAGGACCCGAGGAACAAGGGGACGAGCAACACGAAGGTAGTTAGACAGAGGGGGAGGCGCGACAGCGAGTGATGACGGAGGAGGCGAGGGCAGGAGGGGAGGAGTCCGGCGGAGGAAACACAGGATTTTGGACAGGAAGGGGAGGAGGCGGCGGGGGAGGCATAGGCGAGAGGTCAGGGGAGGGAAGGCCGAGCAGGCGAAGGGCGGACAACGGCGGCGATTGTTGTTGCTGCTGCTCGACGCCGATACCTGGATCGCTAGCTGCACCACGGCTACCTCTGGAACACTCCACTCCAGCATCCAGAGAACGAGCAACCTCTCCACCACTGGTGCCACCCCCGAGCCCACCAGGACAAGCCACGACAGGAACAACAGGACTAGCACCCTCGTCAACGCCTGCACCCCCAGAGGCCACAAACGGGTGCTGCCGCTGCGACGGCGGCGGCGGCTGCGGCACCGGCGTCAGCTGCTGCGGCGGCGGCGGCGGCGATTGCGACGGTGGAGGAGGAGACACCGGGGGAGAGACAGGCGGTAAGAACTGCGCCGCAGGGCCTCCAGAGCCAGCCGACTCCTCGACCGGGACAATCGCCACGAGGGGAGTGACGTGAGACACACCAGACGGAGCAGGACGGGGAGGAACGTGAGCAGGGGCTACAGGGGGAGTGCGGACCAGAAACAGGGGAGGGAAAAACGGGAGACCACGGTGGGGAAAGCAGTGGTAAAAGGAGACAGACTCGTCGAAAGTGGCGTTACGGGAGTGAAAGAAGCGGTGAGACGGCGGGTGGTAAAAGTGCCAGTCAGAGGAGTCCAGGGGGAAACCGATGAAGATATAGGGGACAGTGCGGGCAGTGAGCTTGTCCGTGCTAGAGACACGAACGTGAGCGAGGCAGCCCAAGACGTGGAACGCGGACGCGTCACCAGGAAACCCGGTCCAAAGAAGGGTCGGCGAAACCTGCGGCCACTGGGAGCGCGGCTAGAGGTTAAGCTGGTGAGCGCCGTAGCGAACGGCGAACGGCCACAGAAAATGGGGTGCACCGGCATGAATCATGGAGGTAAGAGCCACCTCCATGACCAAGCCGATGCGTCGCTCAGCGACCCCATTCTGCTGCGGGGAGTCCGGTAGGGTGTACGAGTGGGTGATCCCGTCCGCACGACAGAACTGTCCAAGCCGACCAGAGGCAAACTCGCCGCCACAGTCGGAGTGCAGACACAGCAGAGGGAGACCACGTTGGAGGCACGCAGCTACGACCCACGGGATAAGAAAGTCGGGCACGTTGGCCTTCCGCTCCAAGGGAAACACGGTGGTGTAGCGCATATAGTCGTCAACGAGCACTAGAAAGTAGCGCTCGCGACGCCGTCCACAGATGGGGGTGGGGCCCCAGACGTCCAGGTGCAGGGTCTGGAGCAGTGCGGCGATGGGGGGGAACGAGGAGGAGTGAGGAGCATGGCGGAGCCGGCCCTCGACGCAGGGCGTGCACGGCGGCGCAGGCGAGGGAGGGAGGGCAGGAAGCGATGCAGGGAGACCTAGGACGAGACCGTGCTGGGACATGTAATGCAGACGCGGGAGCGCAGGGTGACCTAGGTGGTGGTGCTACAGAAGCGACGGGTGAGTGAGTGATCGACACGGGCACGCAGCGGCGACCTGGGTAGATGCAGGACCCGGGGAGGACACGCCCGCCGGGGGGGGAGCAGTGTCCACCGTAAAGAGGCCAGACACCGGGTCCCGGGGGAACGTCGCAAGGGGGGAACCTGAGACGGCCTCGGTACAGACGTCTTACTGCTCGTGACCTGGGAACGTAGTGGTGACGCCGAGGTCCTGAAGACAGGAGACATCGACTATGTTCCGGGGAAACGAGGGGATGTGCAGGCCTGTAACGGAACCCGAGGGGGCCGCTGGATAGAGAAGGGTAGTGTAGCTGCGAGCAACTACAGGACCAGAGGAGGGGTCAGCAAGTGCGATAGCGACAGGCATGGCAAGCGGCGTAAGCGCAGCGTGGTCGCGGAAGAAGCAGGTAGACACACCGGAGTCAACTGTGAAGGACAGCGAAGCAATAGCAGCGGACGAAGGAGGAGCGAGTGTGGAGCTTAGACTAGACAAAGCAAACGGTCCTACGTCTGATGCAGCAGGGGTCTCTGTACTACACACAATTGCTACGCCTAAGCTAGAGAGCACAGGGTAATAAGATCCGGACACACTAGAAGCGTCAGCATACAGAGAATGCAAGGCAGAACTAATGTGATCCATGTCTAAGTCAAAAATAGGCACACCGTGGCGTAGCAAACTGGGCGAGTCAGGGAGGTCCAGGGCCGGGCCGAAGCGGCGACGAAAGAGGCTGTCGAGGCGGCGGAAGCCGAGGGCGGTCGGGTGCGGAGGGTGGCACATACTGCCACAAAGGGGCCCGGTTTGGAGCTGGTACTGGCTGCCTACAGCACCGAATCCGCCGGTACACGCCGAGCTGCGAGGACCACCACCGCGCCCACCCCCTCCAGGGGCTCCAGGCCACCCTGGCGGGAGGTGGGCCCACGGCTGCTGCTGTTGCTGCTGCTACGGCGGCTGCTGCTGCTCCTGGACGCCTGCCCTAGCCCCCTCGTCACAACCACAGTCGCCGCCACCACCACCACGCCCTCCCTTGGGGCCGCGACAGCCCCAACGCTGTCGCTGCTGCTGCGGAAAGGCCGCCGCTGCGGTCTCAGCAGCAGGAGCAACAGTAGTGACCGCAGCGGAAACGTCAGCGTACGTGCACTGGGAGGGAGCACAACCCTGAAAGATAGGGACTGCCGCAACACCGCTCGACTGAGTGATAGTGCGCTGGCGAGTCTCTATCTCAGAAAGGGCAGCGACAAAAGCGGTCAGGGTGAGGTCACCAGCGTGCTAGCTAAGGAAGTGGTCGCAGGCAGTGGCTAAGCGGTCAGGCAGGCGCATGACAATAAG